CGCTCAACAACGTGAGCCTGATCCTTTTTAAAACAATTTTAAATAACACCCAATGCGATCATTTCATGAGTAAACGATGCTATAAATAGCATATCTTGTTATTCCTAAAATACCCAAACCAGCCCACATTTCTAAGGGGAGTTTTGAAATGTAAAACAATGATTCTCAAGGCACGACAAATCCAAATATGAACAGAAACAGCTTAGAGGCTGAAATAGAAAACCGGAGCTGAGCCCCACGCTGCTTGCCCCAGCCCTTCATCCAGGCCCAGTGTCTTTGGTCCTCAGGGGGGGTCACATCGCTGTGAAGGGCGGGGGAGGTGCTGGAGGGAGGGCCCGAGGGTCTGGAACCCAGTGCCTGGCACAAGGTCTTCATTCTATGACCCTCGACTGCCACGATCGCAGGCTGGTGGCCTCCACTTAGTTGTCTCCCTTTGTACTCATCACTATGCAATAGGCGTATTCATTTTAGAATCAGAAAAGAGAAAAAGACCGTCATGAAACAAAGAAAGGTGAGGACTGACAGGTGACGACTGATCTCAGGGAGCAAAGGAGCCAGAGCTGCTTTGTCGATGCCACAGCTGTGGGGTCTGGAATTTAATCTGCAGTTAGCGAGGCTGAGAGAGGGAGGTGGGCGCACCCACAGGTTTCCTGACTCAGAATTTCCTGCCTTTGAGCCCACCCACCTGTCCCCAGTTTACAGATGGAAGGGAAACCCCAGGGTCCCAACCCCCTGCACACACGCCCACTCCTGTGAGCAGACCTGCAGGGAGGGCTGGGGCTGGGGGTTTACCGGAGCTGCCCAGCCTCCCCCTCACAGCTATTTCAGTTTGGGATGGTGAGAAAGTTCTGGAGATGGAGAACAGTCATGTTTGCACAACAATGTGAATGTACGTAACACCACTGAACAGTACACTTGAAAATGGGTGAGGTAAATAAGTACATTTCATGTAATTTATATCTTACCACAGTGAGGTAAGGACCATTAAACATCTCCCAGTGCAGAGACCATTTTCCTTGTTCTGCAGAGAAATAAATTGAGGCTCAGAGAGGTGAAAAAGGTCATTTCTTTTATAATCATCAAAAAAAATCTCTATTGTTGAAGGTATCATGTATGTCCCCTTTTTTCCCCCCACATTGATCCCTTCTAGCGCCCCCTGCTCCCATCCCCCCGCCCCATGCCTTCACCACACCATTGTCTGTGTCATGGGTTATGCATATATGCATGCAAGTTCTTTGGTTGATCTCTTCTCACCCACCCACCTACCCCCTTAAATCTTTTTTTGATACCTGAAGTATAGCAGGTATTCTTGAATTTAAACATTACAGATAAAGTGAAACCCCCTTCAGACCACCCTCCTTAACCACATCCCCTCCCAGGGGGTAACCGTGGCAAAATCATTTGGTGTGAATTCTTCTAGATCTTTTTTTAGATTTACAGAAATGGAACCATTCTGTACCAATTTTAGAGCTTACCCTTAACACTTACTTAATGCTATTTCTTAGAGATCTCTCCATTTCAGTTCATATGAGCTACCTCCTTCTTCGAAACAGCTGTGCAGTAAGTCTTAGAATGCACGGAGTTATGCACTACGTGTTAATCACTCCCCGACTCTTGGACACTTAGGTCGTGTTCAGTTGTTTGTGGCTATTTAGACCAGTGATGGCGAACCTATGACATGCGTGTCAGAGGTGACAAGCGAGCTCATTTTTTTGGTTGATTTTTCTTTGTTAAATGGCATTTAAATATATAAAATAAATATCAAAAATATAAACCGGACACGGCACCAGAGTTAAGTTAGGGTTTTTCAAAATGCTGACACGCCGAGCACAAAAGGTTCGCCATCACTGATTTAGACCATCCAGCATAATTTCTTCTTCGTACACATGTAGAAGAGGTTCTTTAGGAAATAGTTATTACTTATTTATTTATTAAGGTTGCAAACACATATAAATGAAAGCCAATACAATGGTTGGCATTTATTGGTGCTCAGGGAATGCTGAATATTTCCCCCTCATCATCTCTCATGTTGTTCCTCCCCCAGTCAATCCTGTGAGGAAGTCCAGTCACTATCCACAAATGAGGGAAAGGTCCAGAAACTGGGAGTAATTTGCCCTGGATCACAGAGCCCGGGGCCTTCAAGTGGGCTGGGCTGAGAGAGGGAGGAGGTGGGACCACAAACCTGAGTTTGTGGTCTCCTGGAGATCCCCTTCCCACTGGGTCCCCGATCTAACATAGGTCTGGAGTGTTATGGGCACTAGCAAATGCTTGCCCCCCTCAACATTTTATTTATTTCAGAGATGAAGGGAGAAATAAAGAGAGAGAGAAACATCAATGATGAGAGAGAATCATCGACTGCCTCCT